GAAAAGGTTGTGGGGGAAAAAAAAAACGTGTGTTTAAACAAAAATCAAGCTGTTTTTTTTGTGGTTTGTTGAAGAACCCCAATCCGACATTGACGATGTGACTTGCTTATGCGTGCCAGGCTGTTTATCGCTTGCATCATATCTGCACATTAAACGCTTTGGGATTTGGACACATGTTGTTCATCCCTTGCATTTTGTAGGTGGTTTCCGGGCAGCAGGACATGCTCCGTTGTGTGCCGCTACCTCGGAGGCATGGTGGCATTGTTTCATGTTTCAGCTGTGAGCGGTTCCAAGCATTGCAAAGTTCGCCATGTCAAGTAGGGCTAGGCTTGCGGGCGCCTTGGGAGTTGCAGATCTTTTGCAAGCAGACCTTCGCAAGCCATTGCCTTCACCCAAACGGGACAGCGCACAAGGATGTGCATCCGGATATGCTGTGTCACCCAAAGTTGATAGTGCGCAAGGAGGCGCAGCTGGATACGGGGCTTCGCTGGCACCTGCAGTGTCCACAACCAAGGGCCCAGGTGCCTCGTCGGATTTGGAGTCCAAGTCTGCAGCATCGCGGCGGGCAGAGAGCACAGACCAGGTCTTGGACGAGACACACATGTCGCCACAGTTAGTTGCGACCCTTGCGTCAGCACCGTCCAAAGCCGATAGTACTGCGGTGAGTTCACCGTCGCATGTAGCGCACGTTGTTTCTGGTGGTGAAGAGTCGGTGGGGAGGGGGGAAATGCCTCACTCCACAGTGCTGAAACACTCGGCACAAGGCGAAACTAGTGATATGAAGCAACCGGCAGCTGCAGGGTATCCGGGAAAATCAAGCAATGCCGGCCTTGCCAAAGCCATCCCGGCATTTGCAGGAGCCGCTGCACCAGTTCCAACTGAAGGTCTGGCTACCCCAAATGCGCATTGCACCATTTCAGAGGGGGGTGCATCCGAGATACGGACAAAAGTATTCCGGATCGGCGCCCCGCTTCTTCGCAGCACCATTCCTGTCACGGTGGGTGGCAGGAGAGAGAGCAGACACCTTGGCCTTGCACCGCCCACCACGGAGAAAGGAGATGGCAGCGATGTGGAAACTATTTTGTCGCTCTCGGAAGGGGAGTGTGAAGAGGAAGCGCAGCTGTCGGTCACCTTGGACTTCCCTTGCTGATGAGCCCATGCTTTCCGGACATGGGTTTTTGTTTCACTTTCTAGCTCCTGTTTGGCAGTGGCAGCCGTTGATCAGGATCGAAGGACAAAGAGCGCCTGCTTTTCGCCGTCGTTGTTGATTTTCGCTTTCAGGCAAGATGTGCTGAGCCGAGAAAGCCTTGCTTGGTTCAGCCGTTTCGGTTCAGAGCCTCTGTGGCTGCCTTTGCTTTGTGCCACTTTTGTGCTGATTCTTGGCGAAGTCAGCGTGCGGCTGGTTTAGTGAGCTAGAGGAAGGAGGGTGTAGGTGGAGGCGTTTGCAGTTCAGTGACTTAGTGATTATTGGTTTCGGTTTTGTTTGGTCAGTCTTACCCGGGTTCAGCATATCTTGCGATATGCACACAAGCACATGTTTTGAGACATCCGTCTTCCTCTTGTTCTTCGGAACCACGATCTGGGACTTGTTCAGGCGTTCGGATTTGCCGCCAGAATGGGCGCGCAGCTGCCAAAAGCTGTTGAATCAACGGTGGTTGAATCGCAATGTTCAGTTACTTGGTTGCAAGGGAGACTTGAGAGTGCAGGTTCCATTGTTTACAGGATGGCAAGATGTATCATGTCCAAATGAAAGGTTTCGATGGAGGATTTTGTAAACCTCAAGTGTGAATTCCGTGGTGCCAGCAGGCAGAACATGACACAACAGATAGTCTCTCCTACTATCGGCGCGTATCCAGCGATCTGGGGCTGGAGTCTGGAGCTTGGTGATGTGCCGCTAAGAAGGTTGTGCAGGGTTCACCTGCACCGCGAGCGGTGCTACGAGTCCGTGAATCAGTAACTTTGGTTGGTCCTTGATGTCTCGAGTCGAGACCTGTCATCCAAGTGGGAAGCTTTGAGTCACTCGCACCGCAGCTGGACCGAAGCAGTTCTGCTGCAAGATGGGGTCTTGAGCAGCACATGCCGAATATTGGCAGATCTTTCTCATGTTTGCAGTGGCGATTTCGTGTCCGGTGCCACCAGGGGGAGTTTGATGTCGCCGTGGCTGAAATGACACTCGGCATGCAGCCGTTCTCGAGTACATTGTTATACTCAAGGTTGGATGTCGAAAACTGGTGACTTTGCCGGTTGTTCCAGCATGCAGAACTTCTCAGCCAAAGGGTCCTGCACGCTCCTCGCTGCTCCTAGCTATGTTGTAAGACACATAGTGAACGGTTCGAGCCCCTGTGAATAAGCGAAAGAAAGCCTGAGATTTTGAACCCAGCACTGCGAGTTCTTGAGCATTAGCTGCCCCCCTCAGGAACGGCTGGCGTACTAGCATGGAGGATGCGCATTTGATCATGCCCGGGCCCAGCAAATGATGCGGTTTGGGGGGTTTCCTTTTTCGGAAAGTGCAATCAGGTACCCGGCATGATACTTTAGAAGAGTCTAGGCAGCTTTTCCAGAATCAGAACTCCCTCCAAGGCTCGGTGAGGGCTGGGGTGTCTTCGGCGTTTTTGACGGACATGGTGGAGGCAGCGGTGCTGGCGCTTGGAAAAACAAACTCGCCGGCCCCCCCGAGAGCTCGCAGCGCCAGCAGGTGCTTGTTCGGAGTTCGCTGCAAGAAGGCCGAGCACGACTGAAGCGACGGCAGTCCTCGATTATTTGTGTTGGTAAAAATGTAGGGACACAATTATGTCTAGTCGTTCCGACCCTCATATGTTTTGTATGTACCGGCTGCCGTGTGTGTTGTTGTGGCAGGCTGCGGGAAGAAATTGAAGCCAATGGATGTCCTGACAGCGATGAGGCAGTTAAAAAACTGCGCCTTGTCCGGCACTCCAGTTTTTGCAGATGGTTCTGCTGACGAGTCTGACAACTACCGGTACAACTGCATGATGACACAACGACATTCTTCCACGCTGTTGTCACATGGTAAGCCATGGCCACCTGGTTTGATTGGTTGCATGCGTGTCGAATGTCCAAACCGGCAGAATCCGGAAAGGCATGAAGAGACACACCGAGGGGCGTTGCCAGAGGTGTCAGGTATTGATGCAGCACTCAGGTTCATCAAGATTGACCAAGAATTTCTGGACTCCGCGCAGAGCAGTGGCACAACTGCCACCATGTGCATCGTGCGAAAGCCCAAAGAAGCAGGCAGGATGCCTGGCCGGCTTTTCTTTGTGCGAAGGGCCAACATCAACCAACAAGTTTCTGCTCCTAGTTTGGCTGACACATTTGACGACAGGTGGAAAGCATCGGCTTCACGTGATCAATGCTGGCGACAGCCGGACACTGCTAGGCAAGCGTGATGGCAGCATAGTGGACGGTGGTGGCACGGACAAAGGAGCGCAGTCCGTGAGGTCTTTCTTCAGTATGCCTGTGCAGTTACTGTTTTCCTTCCCCGGCACTGGAAAGCGTTCAGGATTAACCACGGATCACAAGCCTGACCACCCAGCGGAGAAGGCCGAAGCGATGGGAAACACCTTGTTTTGATGACCACCTCACCAAAACAATCTGCAATTGGCAGGCGCGCATTGAGCGGTGTGGTGGCAAGGCCGGCATTCTGAAGGTTGCTGATGTTTCGCGATGTGTCGGACTGTCGCAGAAACAACCCAACGTAGGAAGGCAAAGCAGTGGCTAACCCAAGAACGACGGTCCAGACAGGTCCTTTGAACTCTTGCGGATGAGACGTGCTCGCCTAGGTTGAGATTGCAGATGGCGGCGTGGCACGTGTTTCTTGCCTCAGCACATGCTCCTGTTGAACCTTGTTGGTTGCGGCATTCTCTGGCCGCCAATGTTTTGCAGATGCTGAATAGGCCGCAGCCCCTAAACATTCAGAGCAATCACATCAGGTCATATTGTTTTACATTGTAACATGCTAAATGAACTATAGCGAAATTTTAGCTCATGCTATGTTATGCTGCATTGTGTTATAGAATGTGGAACTATGCTGTATTATCTTACATGCCTACCAGGTCAATGGCAACTTGTCGGTCAGCCGAGGCTTCGGGGACAAGGCTGGTCATGTAGAGAAAAGTGGGTTTGGGAGTCTCTGGCCCAGGGGTGATGGAAGCAACCATGTACAACGGCACAGCAGCAACGGCAAGATTCACCTGTGTTGCTTTCGTCTGCGAAAGTATTGAGCCGCAAGGGACGTGTCCCGAACAGTCGCATAACTTTCGCCGCCGATTGCCCTAAATTTACGTCGGCTGGCAGCAAGAAGATTGCTGAGACGCTCCATGTCCTGAACGCTGGCAGGACGAGAAGATGACGGGTGGACCTGGCCCGGAGGACATGCAACAAGATCTCGCACTCGAAGTGCATCGCTTGAGTTGTTGTGATCATCGCCGTACTGTCCCTGCAACTTAGTCTGGTTGTGACATCCCGAACGTAATTCAGCCGGGAACATCCCGAAGATGGCGACGACAGCCATGGCTCAAAGGCTTTTTGCGAGCTCAGGAGTTCACGTTGATATCCCTCTCCGAAAGTAGCAGCAGCTGCCCTGAAGCTGGGGGTGGTCATACTTCGTGTCTTGCGCCGTGGTTGGCATCGCAGGATCGTCCGGTGACCGTAGACCCGGAGATGTCGCACTTCGAGCAGCTTTGTTTGATGGTTCCCTCGTGCTGGTGACAGAAAAGCTATCTCGGTGTTGTCTTCGGTTGTTGGAGGTCGCGTACAGGGTGCGGTCACAGTTTCGGTCTTCCGGTGTTCAGGCCGAGCTGTCGCAAAACCTTCCTCTTGCAACACTTGACTATGACAGAGTGGCTTTGGACTTTGTTCTGAGATTGTGAAGGAGGCATACTGTAGGGCAAGCTGGTATAGGAGTTCAGAATGAACTCAACCTCGGGTACTGGCCAAGGTGTGATGAATCCGATTTTCTCCTGCTGGTCTGCGATGGTGACTTGCTTGAGCCATCGAGTGATTCCGTTTGGCATCACCTCACCCGAAAGCTTGTCAGAACGTCCAGGCTAGTATCAGGAGTCTCGATGTCGTATACCTTGCTCTTTTCGCAATGATGTTTCGTTTTTAGAGTTCATGGTGTGGTCAACGGTGTGCTTTCGATGTTGCTTTTCTTGTGGACTTCGCCCTCTGCAGCGAACCATCGGAGTCAAAGACGTCCTGCCTTAGGCCAGGTGTCCTGGTTGATGGAATGCACATTTGCCTGTCAGCGTTCTCCAGCAATGTTTCCAGGTGTCTCAGAAGGAGCCTTCCCAAATGCGGAGGTTGTCAAGCTGGTCGCGTCCACGCCACCTGTCAAGCAAACAGATCGTGTTGGACCCTGCCCTCATCTGGGAAGCTATTCAGCTTCTTCCCAAATTCAATGTCAAGCTTATGCCCACAAATCCCCAAAACTGGGCCAAAACTCAATATCATTGTGCAGGCTTGGGTCCGGGAAGGACATGCGGGAGGCTGCAAGGGCTGTTTGCCACAAAGCGGTGGAATGCGAGCCCTGGCAGCAGACCGGGGGTTTTTTGAGTGGGATTCCGTTGTTGCTGTCTAGCTCCAGGCATTTCTTGCGAGGATGGCCTCAAAGGGATAGTCTAGATCTGGGTCTGTTCATCGGATGCTGTTGGCTGTTGGACTGCAGCCAGTACTGACAAGAAAAGGAAGCACGCGAATCGGCCCCACGCTGCTTGCCAGGACTCTAAAGACAACATCACCTGCTCCGTGTCAGCAGCTATACCGGTTTCTATTACTTCCGACCTTTGTTTGGGAGGAGTGCTAGGAATCGTCGAGTAGTCAGCCCGACTCACAGCTAGTGTGGACGCTTCAAGCAAAGAAGCCCTCGAGGCACATCAGCGCTGGAAGGATCACATACTAGTTTCCATCAGCATGCATCTTCTTGTGCAGCTCGCCTTGGCCAGGCCACGGAGTACAGGGTCCTGAATCGTAGTGCCACTGAAGTCGTGCTAGGTATGGGTGTCTTGCTGACCGGTGGCAGCTCGTCCTCGGGCAAGCGCATTGACTTCCACCCCGGGCCTATGACCAGCATAGGCACCCGGCAGCCAGCATCCCGTGACGTGCGGGTTCGGGGTGCTGAGTAGCTGGCTAACTTAACACGGGAACAACACCGCGACTGATACAGCATACGTTGATGCACGTGTCTTACGGCGTCAGGTGCTTATTGCCAGAGTCATAGTATGTAGGCAAACTGTTCCTGCGCCCTTGCACCTGAAGTGCCCGTCCCAGCCCGTCGCGGCAAGTCAGCAGGCCCTGAGCCCCAAACCCTGCTGTGCAGACACCCCTGGCCTAAACTGCCTAAATCCTGAGTCGTTTCCCAGTCGCCGGGCCAGGGCACAAGGACTTTCGGGCCGCTTACGAAGCATCTGCGCAGCGGGCCGGACTGCCAGGAGCTCCCAGCTGTGTCTGTTACATATAAGGATCTGGAGGGTCGTGGGGTGCTTGGGATGTTCGGATGGAGAGTTCAAGGCGGAGAGCACATCAACACACACCAACATGAGGAAAGGACTACAAAGGAAGAAAGCAAGGAGGTAGAGAAAGAAGCAAGGCGTGCACCAGGAGAGGAAAGCATAAACAGTGCGTAGATGCAGACGTACGCCTGCAATTGCTGTAGCACGCGCAGGTACATTTACAAGTGTGTAAAATGACAAACCACCTGTGTAGGTTTTCATGTTTCGTGTCTCCGTATAAAGCACCTATTGTTGGAGGAGACCTCAGTCCTTTCCCGTGAAACTGTCCAAGGAGGTTGCGTTCTATCCCACGTTCTGCGGAGGTCCCTTAAACCCTGCGAGTGGCAGATAAGCCCCTGAACCCTTGAGCCTCAAACCAAATCTCTCAGCACTCAATCTCTCAGCTTCGGTCGCGGCGACCTGGTCCTCACGCTCCCACAGAGCTTCAGTGGACCATCTGTATCTATGTGTGTATATATATATATATATGTACATGTGCATGTATGCATGTATACATCTTCTTTGTCTTTTCAGATGCTATCGATGACACCACGTTCAGGCGGCCTATGGTTAACAGATGTTTACTACACTTTGCACCGTCTTCGAAGCCTCGGAGCTGGCCATGTGCCATGTGCTCAGGTCCCTGGTCGAGGCAGTTATGCAGCGCTACGATCTGGTCTCGGATCAGTTCAAGGCTTGTTCGTGAGATGGGTCCTTCTGCGCTTACCCCAAGTTGGGAAGTATGAGGTTAGGACTCTGCACTCAGGTCGGTGCTTGCGTTCCGACTGCTGTGCACTTTGTGCACTTTGTCTCCGTCGAATGAATCGGGAACAGGATCGCGAACTAGAGAAGCATCGAGTTTCTGCTATCAGAGTCTCAAGGCATGCTGCTAGTCGCGGTTCCGAACATCGTGTGGCCCGCCGCTGTCATACTTGGCTTGAGCTGTTTTTTGATCCTGGTGATAAGCCTCAGGGCACTACAAATAATGGTTGCGAAGTTTGCTGCCCCATTAGGCACGTGAGCACAACAGCAGGATAGATAGAACGAGTGCAACCATTACTCGGGAAGGCTACGAGTGACATACTAATACTAGTAGAACATAACTTTGCACCATCCAAGACTTTGAACTTAGAAATATAGCAGTACCCAGAGATACCCAGCGGCCGGCAGTAGCTCTTGCAACTCACACAGGCTAGAGTGACATAGGCCGATGTCTGGCGACTGTTTTCCACAAAGATGCCTCTGCCTGCGGCGGCTCGGAGCTCTTCGGGCATGGCTGCAGCTTGCATGCGCCTTCAACTCTTTTGGCCTGGATCTCAGGACGTGCACAGGGTGAAGTTGTGCGGGTTTCAGCCAGATTGGGGTAGGGCGATATTTACAATCAGAATCCTGCGTTTCCGGGCTCTTCATGAGGGTCCCTTGTTTTCTGTTTTTGGCCTCCATTTGCGGAGCTGTGCATCGTTGCTAAGGCTGCTCCTGCAGCCGATCCAGGCCCAGCAGGATGCCTTCCACGATGAGACGCGATGCATGGCAGCTTTGGGTGTTTTGTGCCGGGTTTCAGGAGAATTGGCGGTGAGAGGATGTGAAAGGAGCACAAGCTGAAGGGCTCCAAGACCAGGGTTTGCCCTACAGTGGCTTTGCATGATGTGTGGGGGGACTCTCATTGTTTGTAGTGCTTCTGATGTAACGGCCCTGCCGTAGTAGCTTCGTTGCTGCTGCGTGGGGTGGCGAAGCTTCTGCACAAAGACAACTAACATGCCCCGGCCTTTCCTGTGAACCGTCCCAGGGGACGGAAAGCTGGAGATGTCCCTGAAGGAGCGGTACGAATACTGGGAGACACTTGGAGCTTAACGTTGATCAAGATAACTTCCGATAGATAAGCTTGTTCAGCAACCTGAACTCCGAGGAAGACCTATGCTGATCCCCGATCCGCTAGTGGAAAGGAGAGGGGACGGGGAGCCCTCGGCAAGACTGCGACCATAGAGTCTAGATGCCGCTTGCAGACATCTGCTTCCAGGTTTCTGTTCTCGGCTTGAGCACACATGCGCGTGCTTTCTATATCTCCTTCCACCTTGCACTACCCACTTGTGTGAGCACCAGTTGCGAGGACTGGTACGGCTCCTGGCGTGACTTCCGCCACGATGTTGCGGGGTCAAAGATCCGAAAAAACGATGACGGCTTGGCTGCATTGGTAGTGTGCAGGCGCATCTCTGTCTTTCCGTGTGTCTTTACGGGTTCGAGTCCAACGTGAATGCCTGCCAAGCCTTTGTTTTCGAAGAGTTTTCTGAGCAGGAATGGCATAGGTGTAGCACAGGAGTAAACAGGAATGGCGCTTGTAGCTGTTCTTCTATACATGGGTTCTTTGCATGTGTGAAGTAGGTATCTGTTTCCGCTTGATTGCATTTTCTGGCTGCGCTCCTCCACAGTTGAAGCTTGCCCCCGGTTTGTTTGTCACATCCTCGGGATATGCTCTAAGGAAATATTAGTCATCGGCTGCGGCAACAGTGCTCTCCCTGCAGACTTAGCAGCTCTGTCCGCATGGCTTCTCAGCCGAGGTTGGAGTCTGAGATTCTGAGCCCTGTTCCAGGCGAAGCAGGGGTTCAAGCGGGTGACGGCTGCAGACTACAGCCAGCCACTTGTCCGTGCTGGAGTAGGAACTCTTGGGGGGGACTTCATGCACATACTCCCGGGGAGGGTGCATCTGTAACTCTGCTTTGGGCCTACTCCTGCTCTAGTCGGGTATACAAAAGGCGCGAACTTGCCGTCGATGGAGGATGAAGCCTCAGCCCCTGTAAGGATGCCAGGGCCCCCTAGCCGACCACGTAGGAGCAATCGTGACCAGGGCAGTGGCTATCTTCTTCTAGCTTCTATGAGATCATGAATGTAAGCTGGCCTTTCTCTGCTGAATGGTTCTGCTTTGCCCCTGGAACTTCGCTGCAACCGGGATGTGGCCTCCAGAGGCCCTAGCATGGTCAACTTGTGAAAGCCAGCGCTGCCGAGAATTGAGGAAGGCCATCGAGTTGCAGAAGCGTCGGTTCCCCAAGCTCAAGCCACTTGTCTCATTCTATATCCGGTTGGATAGAGGTGGAATATTTCGGAGTTGATTGTTATCGGGCGGGGGCCCAACAGAAGAGCGCTTTCAGCAGTACCGCAGGGTTCGGGGGCGCTGGATAGAATGACAAAGCCTTCCGTCTGAGGTGGGTCCTGGCAGATGCCCGGAATATGCCGGAATTCCAGGACAAGTCGCCGCTGGGCTGCTAGCCACTACCCGGGACCCGGGAAGATCGGGGGGGTGGGGGTTACAGTAGAACCTCAGATAGCGCGCACGAGGATTCAGCAAAACATGTCGCGGAAGCAGGCAATACGATCCGTCAAAGAGTTTGATCGGTGCTGAACCTGCTCCCCGACCAAATCGTTTGTCTGTTGTGGCAGCTGTTTGCTCTTCGCCCGAACCTGCGAGGTTTGACATCGTCATAGAGAAAGCCCTGACTCTTGGGTAGCACTGGCGGCCACTGGTCCCGATGGCACGTGCGTCAAGGAAAAAGATGCTGGTGCTTGAGCCAAGTGAATCTAACTCAGGATGGATGGCGAGGGCACCTGGTCTGCATTGCTTGTCTCATGGTGTCGCTGCTCGTTTTGACAGGCCGTCTATAGGCTTCCAGCAAGCGATACCTGATCATTGCTGGTAGTTTGGGGTTTGTGTGTCGCATCCGTCTGCGGCAGCAGCAAGGGGCCCGTGCACGAAGTATGGACAGGGCAGCAGCGACAGTTCGGACAGGCCAGAAACTATTGAGACTTGAATAGCAACTTCGCAAGGCGCCTATCGCCAGTGGCCGCTTATGTTTATGGAGATCTCGCGTGTTCTGCGCCCGGGTGGACGCTTCCTGGTAGAACGCAGTGCCTGCTCGAAGTGTGCTCGGTCTACGTGGAAGCGGAGGGGGGATCCTGCAGGTCCCTGTGTGTTGGTGTTAAGCCGAGGTTTTATCTCCATCTCGTTGGGGCAGCCTGAGGAGTTGGACACTGCGGAGTTCTTCAGTGACCCGGCGAATGCCGTTCATGCCGAGAGGGACCAGCGAGCCCCCGAGATTCATGCAAAACCGGATGCTGTGACAGTTGGTGCACGGCGAAACTGAGACTTCACTGAACATGTTCGACCCGGCGTTCATTATGGACAAGCTTGTTTCAACTTCTGCTGAAATAGCTCGTCCCCGAGTTGTTTTTGTTTAATGTGGCGGCTGTGACTAATGAGAGGGGTTGAGATCAGGGTTAAGGGGATTTAGGGTGTAGGCTTACGGGGGGTTTCGGGTTTCACAAGTCCTGATGCAAAAAGGGAGAGCTTCGGGCTTCAGGGCCAGAATTTTAGGGTTTGGAGGGGACCTCAAAGAATAGAATTGTGGGGGTCTTCAGATTGACGCCATTGGCAGCACGGAAGCAAACAACAAAAAACCTCAACCGGCCCAAAAAATGCATTTAAGAGACCGCCCAAGTTTTTGGAGCGGCTTGCATCCTGTTTATCTGCGGGTAACCAAATCCCAGATAACTCCACGTACGGCTGGGACGTTCGCTACAAGCTGAGCTACGACGATTACTACGTCTGGGCCTCGTGACTGTGAGTTCTATCGCCATGGGAATCACAAGGGCAGGAGAAAGAGTTGCACCCAGGTCTACACCATGACGAAGCATGCTTCCTCAAAAGAGGATCTCTGACATCGTTTTGCTGGCAAGAGGAAAAGAGCCGAGCAAGGGGGCAACGGGGAGAGGATGTTGTTCGGGGAGGTCCACGATGGACCCATGCATCGGGCTGCTGGGGTCTTTCACACTCGTTTTATTGTTTTTGCTTCGATGCTCGGATCCCTGCTGCACTCTACGAATCTCTGTTGCTTGGGCGGAGCCTGCGCTGGCTCGCATGGACTGGCAGGTGGCCCCATCCGACGCCCTCAGGGCCGAGCACCTTGGCAGACTTGTGAGTGGAGAGAGCTGGCAGCCAGAGCCGGTGCGCGATCTTCAGCGTAAGACCTTCGGTCGAAAACTCTCGAAGCCCGGGGGCTTCAAAACTTCCCATGTCATGGCCTAGGATGCGGAGTTTTTGTTTCACCTTCACCCTCATGCCTCTGAGGTTGGATAAGATTGGGCTCAATCCCCCGGCCGATGGCAGGAGAGAGTGGCCGGGGCCCCAGGTGGTGAGCGGAGGTCTCTCGTTTACTCTAAGTGTTCACCCGGCGCGATGATGAAGGGCACAACCTTCATCATCGCGCACCCCGGAGCCGAAAGCACCCCGCAACCGGGGCATTCTCTGTGACTTCTAAACGAGTAAAGACCACAGGGCGCTTCTCCAAGCATCTTCTGACAGACATTCCTGCTGGAAAGGTTTGAAAAGAAGCTCGGCGCGTTCCTTGTCAGCACATGTGCCACCTTCTAGGGTGACAGCTTGATGGGTTGCAAGCCGCACGTCACGCGTATGAAGCCGAAGAAGGAGAAGACGCACAGTCTCTGACTTTTCCACCCCAACCTGGAGGGATGTTAGAGGCTTCAGACCTGCAGCGACGGTTCTCCTTCCCTAGGCTGCCGGACGAGAAGGACTCCTCTGGGCCGGGTGGCATGAACATGGAGCCGCCAAGCTGAGATCAGAGCCCTTGTCGAAGAGACCCCCAGACCTCCGGTCCGAGGGAGCTCCAGAAGATGATGGGCAAGGGCAAAGGCGGTGGCAAGGCTCGTTGCTCTCTTGCAGTTCATGATAGCAGCTGAAGACGACGATGATGATGACGACGACGGCAGCCATCGTTCTCTAAGACTTACTCCTCACCCAAAGCAGTATGAAAGCGATCAAGCTGCGCTTTATGCCAGGGACAGAGCACGGGCAGCCAGGGCAAAGGCGGCTACGACTCCGCGCCTTCTGCAGATGAGGAGGTGGAGACCCAGGAGGCCGGAGACTTAGGGTTTCGGGGGGGTTAAGAACCCTTCGCCCTATGAATATCTCTTGGCCAAGCCCCGAAGCTTTCACCAAAAATCCGCGCTGACAGATTCATAGTCTCGCTTCGCGCATGAAATGCTCTGAGCAGAAAAGCGATGCCGCATGCAATGGGAGCTTTGTTGCCCGAGGACGGATACACCTGGAGCCAAAAAGGCGGGCGAGAGCATGCAGTCGCTGAGGTTTCCGAGAGGGATAGGGAGAGGAGAGAGAGAGCTTTGGAGGGAGAGAGAGGAAGACAGCGGGACCCCGCTGCTTGTCCTAGTGCTGCGAGTCCGATAGAACTCTCTGGTTTGAGTATCTTCCGGCTCATGGCACTTTTCGCCTTCAGCACCGAGATTAGGTTTTCTTTATTCTAGCCCTGCCCAGGCGAAGAGGTTCAAATTGCCATCAAGTGGCTGGGCCGTCTTTACTTGGACTGCGCTTGCACCAAGATGAGACGGGATTCTCACCTTGTCTGAAGAGAGAACGTGCTTCTCAGGACACCTGAACTTTGTTTAAGCCCTCAAGTTGCATTTGACCTCAAGCAGACGGCTACGGCTCAAGGTTTGCTAGGAAGCACCCTGGTGTGGTCCTGCCGAAGTGCGTGGGGAGTGAGCAGCAAGTAGCAGGTTCGCGAGAAGCATCATTTCAAAGCAACCTTGCTATTCTAATAAATTCGTTCCATCTGAATTGTTATGGGTGGCTGAGGCTGCCGCAGGCCACCACGAAGAAGGAGGCGTGAGTCTAAGTGCAGAGCGGAGATTGTGGGGTCCATGTGGCCCTGAAGGTCAAGGTCGTCTTCAAGCAGACAACCATTGCCGTCCTTGCCAGTGGTCACCCGGTGTTATTGACTGGAGGGTGATCCTTTCGTAAAGGAAGGAAAAGTCGATTTGGTGATCTCTACTGTAAACCTTTGCGTGGACTGCTTGCTGCAGCAGCGAGTCATTCCTTCTTGCTTCAAGTTTGCAGCACGGTGCTCGGGCACGAACAGCGCGAGACGAAGAGAAGTGGCCTGTGCACAGACTTTTGACCATCCCAGGGTCCCATATCATAAGCAGTGATTAATGCAATGCAAAAGCTAATGCTAGTACATTCCCAGTCTGGCGCCGATATCGACACAGCACAGCGAAAGCGCATCGCAACACCGCAGGTAAGACGTTGCTGGATGGCACTCTGGGGGGCAAGGCGCCAGTTTAGTGAAGCTTCAGGGTTACTCTTAACCCTTCTGCATCGTTTACAAAGAATCGCGAGAATCCAATGAAACCTCTCTCAAGCCTTTAAATACCTATAATACCTCAAGAACTGTGAGGGGTGATCTTTTCAGAAGTCTAAAGAGTCTAAACCTCTATAGAACCCCATACAGAACGGTACGGAACGACTCAAAACCCAAGCCCTGCAAGGTCGAGAGATTCCTATAAAGCCCTAAACCACCCAATCGAAGCCTTATATAACCTTCCGTTCAAATCTCAAACCCCTATAGAACTTGTGGAGCTCCCTGAAACCGGTGATAAATCGGTGTTCTCCTTGTGCTGGTTTGCGGGATAGTAGGTTCAGGGGGCGGCACCAGCGACAAGCTGCTTGTTGAGAACTGGTCTATCCGATGAGCACCTATTCAGTGCCATGGAGGCGCTACTTCTTTTTCAAGGCATAACGCCGGAGCTTTCTCACCTGCGTGGCACTCCCACGGTTCGTGGTCAGCTGGTTCGTGGCCGCCACCACGGTGGTATCCTCACGGTTCGCGATCAGCTTGTTTGTGGCTGTGCTTGCTGACCGGGCTCGTGCTCACGGTTCACGGTCAATTTGTTTGTGGCACTGCTTGCTCACACAGCGGCATCCCAACTCTTCGCCGTCAGCTTGTTCGCGGCAGCGCATTCTCACCATTGGTGGTGTCCGCATGGTTCGCCGTCAAGTCTCAGTGAATCAGTGACCAGGTGTTAGTCTTCGCGCATTCTCACTGCGGTGGTATCCCCATGTATCCCCACGGTTCACGGTCAACTTCTTAGTGACGACGCTTGAGAACGTCGGTGGCCTTGGTGGTATTCCGACTGTTCGCGTTTGATTTCATTGCGTGCCAGTTGGTCGCTGCTGCGGTATCCGTGCTTTTTGCGTCGGCATCATGGTGGTAATTTTCGCGTGGTCGTTTGTGTTCGGATGTTGCTGTGGTCATGTACCCCAAGACCTTAAGATGCTTTGGCGCCTTCGGGCCCGAGGTGACGTCCTTTGTTAGGCCGGGCTCCTGGATTGCTCAGTCCCTTATTTCAACTTATGGCAAAACCATAAAATTCTAAAACTCTACAATGCTAAACCCCGTCACATTCTCTTTCAAGCCTATCGGTAAAACGGTTTTGCAGCCCTTGAAGACCCACCAAAAACCCAACAAAATCCGAAAGAGCACTCTCAGAACGCTGCAATAGAGTGTAGACGCCTTCGGCCCACTATAAAAACCGTAGCAGGCACCCTCAAGTCCCTTTAAAACATGGAGACCCTTTTGACACCCCATACAGCCTATTACCAGACACTTATTGCTCCCGGCTTTTGAGACACACCCCGGTGTCGGAGGGCGTCATGATCGATGCAACCTAGGAATCTAGGGGCCATCGCAGTGAGCATCGGGCTTTTGTGATATTGAAAGCACGCACACTTGAGGGGTATCGTAGAGTCCACTGTTGACCTTGCAGGTGGAGACAGACGAGTGCACTTGGTGCCTGGTCAATGGCGGCACCGAGCTGAACGTAATGCTAACCAAGCAAAACGACCCCTGGAAGCTCTAGAGTGCCGAGAGGGGTGGAGTGTCAGCCTCGATAAAGTTGGTTTCAGGACAGAGGTTTGTGGTATCGGGAGCTGCCTGATTAATTGAGTATCAGTACGCATCCGCCGAGGAGAAGGACAACTGGAAGGGCCTGCTGAAGTAGATGCTGAGGTTCCCAACCACTCAGCATTCCGCCAGGTGGCCTCTTCATCGGGCAAAGCCCGTGAGTTCTCTGACGATGCAGTTCGAGCTCAGAGGGCTTGAAGTACCATGAAGCCGACGCCCGAAGCAGCGTGGCCCCAGACACTTCCCAACGACAACATTGACAGAGTCATAGTTGCACACTAGCGCAGCGTAGTGACCCACAGTCGCTGGTGATTAAACCCTACCTGTACCTGCGCATGTCGGACGCTGCCTGCTTTTGCTTTCTGTGTAGCGCTGGCCCCGCGCTGTGTTGACCGGGGCCGAGCTGAATAAATCGTCACCGTAGGCAGGTGCTTGATTCGTTCCTGAGAGGCCGCGCGCAAAAGTCGGTTCCGGCAAGGGCGGGACTGAAATCATGGAGTGAGCAGATGCAGGTTCGAAGTCTTAATGCTTGAAGCCCTTGTGTCTTATGTAACTTACGTGCTTTGGTCCGTGCTTGCTTGGTGCTACTAAAGCCTGCCGCCTTTATTCACCCTTTGTATCCCACCCCTTCAGGGATTTGAGGAATTTTGTTTCAGCTCTTGAGCTTTGAGACTACAGCTGTACTGCTGGGCGTGAGCCATGGTTTAGAGGTGAGTTTTCAAACCTGTGGCGGGAAGTGCTGCACCGCGAAGGTTGCACGTTAAGCCTTTTGCTGCTTGCAGTAGTCACGAGCAGTGAAGGCTCAAGCCGCTCTTGACCCTGGGACGTCATGGGGCGAGGTAGATCTGACTCCCGCTCCCGCTCGGGAGGCCGTGAAGGTGATGCGGATCGTGCTTCGTTCTGAAAGAAAGGGCATCTGTTCGTAGGGAAGTGGCGCGGGTGTCTTGTTCAAGCAGGCACGTCCTACACAATGCACACTCTGTCCACATTAACGTCCCCAAGTCAAAAGGACCCGTAAGCTCGCCTGCCCAAACTTCAAATGACGATCCATTCCAGAACCGCGTCTACGCTGAGGAATCCAAGGCATGGTCGACGAAAGGCAAGCGGCCCGGCGCGACCGCGATTTTGATAAGGCCGGAATCCGCTGCTTTGGAAGTCCAAAGATTAAAGATGCTAGAAGCGGGTTTGTGGAAGCTTTTTTTTTTGGACTTGTGCAGTGCAGAGCATGAATCTCGGGTTACGCAGGCAGATCGCATGAGGGAGGAGCTCAAGGATATGGGTGTCAGCCGCTCACCTGCGCATGGGGAGCAGTTGGCCTCCTTTCGGAGTTGCGGCTTTTCAGGTTGTGTTGGGAACGGGAGACCTGTGAAGATGAGGGGTCCGTGCAATCAAGGCAAGCGCAGTGCAACGAGTGTGCGGTATCAGGTTAGAGTGCATCTGAGAAAAGTCCGAGGAATAGATGACACGCAGCTGACCTGGAATGCTCCTGGGGGTCTGAGGGGCGTCGTCAACAATCCAGGCCACCGGCGTCCGTTAGGGTGTAACGGAGCACACCTCCGTGTATTTTCCGGTCAACTTTGTATCCCAACCACAACTCCCTTTGCGTCAAGCCCTAGGCTCTCCATGCAACAGAGCTCCCTGGAAGCTGAAGGTGGCAAGGGACCCATCGAGCGGCGCGACGGCGACTGGACTTGTCCGAGTTGCGGTAAGCTGGTCTTTGCCGCCAAGGCCCGGTCTTGTAACTGCCTCTCTCAGCAAGGTGTGTTTTTTTGGCTTCCCAACGGCCAGATTCCTGAACCCACGGGCTGTAGATGTATGTAGATGTCCTTGGCCCGGCACCTTCCCACAGTGTTGCCGAAGTTCCGGCGTCCACAGGATGTGTGCTTCTCCTGCGGGGAGCCGAGGTTCCTCGGGCCGAAGTCTTGTTTTCTGGGAGGGCAGCTTGGGAGTCTCTGTTTGGTGTCAGGAGGTTCATTGGACATTCAGTCGCGTGATGGGACAGTCCGTGTAGCACTGGGAGACCTGGGATCAAAGGTCGGGCTCCTCTCTCTGGGTTCAATGCTTTGAGTCCGGCCCGGGAGCTTACCCAAAACATCCCAAAACCGCTCTGTAAACACTTGCTGAGAACCATTGTAAGAGTGCACGTGACTGCCATAGAAAGTTCAGGTTAGTATGCATGTGTGTATGTATGTGATGTATGTATGTATGCATGTATGTATGTTTGTTCGTTTGCAAGTACATATAGGAACACCAATCCCTGAAGGCCCAGAGGAGGCCGCAGCCGCGACGGCGGCCGAGGAGGTCGTCGTCGCAGGCAGGTTCGGTTTTGGGTGATGGCATAGAAGTCTCCTAAGATGTGTTCAGGAGAGTTGTTGCAAGTGTGGTGCTACCCTTGCCGCGGCAATTTGCTGCACGTCAGCAGGTAGTCTGACCAAGCTTTCAAGAGCTTGGACCTCTTCCGACTAATGACTCTCATAACCCTAATCTCCAAGTTCACGGATGCTCTTCTAGTTCTCTCCGAAGCAGACCTCACCGTTAGCATAGTTTCTCAACAAAGCGAGAGGGACAAAAAGTTCACGATACGTCCTCCAGGGATGACAGCCGAGACGGACGGCGCCGTCGCCGGGATGAGGGCCGCGGGCGCCGACGACGTCACTTGAATTTTTATTCTTGGATCTACACAGGGTTCTTCTGTTCAGAGGCTCTCGCATCTAAGGCAGAGACTACGAGTCCGACTACGACGACTACTCTGAAGAGCCGCGCAGATGATGCCTAGCCAGTGCTGACCATACCCAAGAGATCCCATTCTACTTTGGAAGCGAGACAAGCTTGGCAGCTCTGGAGTTGCAGGCTTCCGAACATGCCACGTCCCTGGTTTCCAGACAATCGCTTGTTCAGCGATTTGCCCCTGGTGTCCCGGGTTCCGGGGCTGGGCTTGGGTTCGAGGGGTTTCGGGAGTTAGGATGGTCCCCTGGAGCCGCAAGATAGGATGGTGTAGAGGTTAGAGATTTCAAGGCCTGGTCAGGGTCGCTTTCACCAGAGGCTGAGCTAGAAGTTTCTGGCTCTAGGTTGAGGTTGCAGATGGCTCAGCCTCTTGTTGCATGCCCCTGCCCAGAAGCCAATACCCGTGCCCAGAGACCACTTTCAGCATTTACCCGTTGAAGTAAAACCTTTATTGTTGGGTCGCTGGGCACCCCTGCGTTCTGAACGGCTTGCAGCCGGCAGCTGTGCGTGAAGCCACCCCAGGATCAACTCGGACAGAGGCCCAATCGGAGGTCCAGGAGAGCAGCTCCAGCTGCCTGCATCCTTGCATCCTGCGGGTGGTTCTATCAATGGAGTAGAACATCAGAGCCGGCAGGGGGGCAAAAACAGGATTCCAGATTTGGAGTGCGCTGTGGCCTATGGATCAAGCCACATCGTAAATGCTGACTGTGGCTTGACCGTTTAGCTTTTGCGAGTTGCGTGTGCGGTTTCGTGTTCCGAAGTCTCATGCCGGGGACGTTCCGTATGCTTTCTGGCCCGAGGCTAGAAGATACCATGCGCAGCCCACACCAGACACTTCATTCAGCACTGTACGCCTCCGAAGCTTCGAGCTCAACCGAGTTTTCTTGAGAACGTCCACGTCCACGTGGCTCAAGTCGAAGCCCACACTCCAGTCACAAACGATGTAAGAACGACAGCAGCTTCCTCAACCCCACACGCCCTTCAGCCGGAACGCCCTACAATTGATTTCCAACCCCCTGCAAAGCTTTCAGTCAGTCGTGCCCATGCCATGACCCGAAAGGGCAAAGGCAAGGGCAAGCGTGCACATGCCTCTCGGCTGAACACGGATCCTGACTGGATCCGCAAGTCTGTGCATTGGACACTCTTTTCTTGCCATGTCGGCACTTGCTTCCACACCTGGGCCAGGGCGCAGGGTTGTTAGATGAACGAAGCTGCACGTCCAACCCAAACCCTGGCCTGTTGCAGATTTTCCTTTTCAGTGGACGTTTAGGGTGGGGCCGGTAGAGCTATTGGGTTGTTGGGGGGATAGGGGTTAAAAAAAAATTAAATCAGGATCAAAAAAATTAAATCAGGATCAAAA